GGAGATGATAGATATCCAGAGCAGGAAGGATTTGAGATGATCAGAGGGAGGTTTTGAAAAGCTTAGAGGTGAAGAGGTTTTATTATAACATAAACACATTGTAATAAATTGACCTTGAAAAGAAAGGACATGGATAACATGCAAAAGCTTGTGCCTAAAAATTAACCTTTTAGGCAATAGGGAATGATAGAAAACAGCAATGACTGCTCCAGGAAGGGCGTACTCTGATATGAGAAAGGTTCAGGTCACACAGAGGGATGCAGTAAGTCCTCAGTGTGTCATGGTTACAACCCCATTCAGAGCTCTCTACTACATGAAGATGTCTGTATGAGGCTCTGGATCCCAAATCAGCAACCCAGGTCTAGTGCTTTGGGATATATTGCTAAAATAAACATAAAAAAAAATAGAATTTCTTCCCAGCACTTTTCCTAGCTTCATCATTTTTAATGCAGTCTAATACAGAACTGTTACTCTGATTTTCCTATCTACTTATATGCAAGAGCAAACAAATAAAGATTCAAGCTGGAATTTTTCCAGACGTGTTCAGAACAATTATTCCCCAATAACTTTCCTTATCTTTATCCTTGTGGATTTGAACGCATCCTTGAGAAATCTGTCCCTCATTCCATATTCAGCGGAGAGGACAAAACACTTACAATTAGCATACTCGAACCAAGTTTATAGCCTTGTAGAGATACCTACTCTACATATAACGATTTACCACTTTTTATTGATGCTACAACCACCATTCATTTCTGACTTCCACGTTCCCAGTGTAGTACATCAAAAACAAATGACAGAGATGCCAGATCAGTCAGAAGCGTTGATGTAGCTGCCAACAAATCCTTTGGCTGATTCCACCATTTTGTAATCATCTTAAATTTCAGTCCACTGAGTCTCAGACAAAAAGCCTTCACATCTGTGTCTCGATCCCGACCACAAAAAAGCAAGATCAGAAGACCTGGAACTATAATGCTATTATCAACAGTGACACAGAAAACATCCAAATTCATACTTCTGTGCTAATAGCCTCACTTTGAAGGAAAGAAACAAAAGGCCATTTGGGGGGATGCGATATAAAGTAGCCCTCAAAACCAGATGATGCTTCTGTTTCTTATACTATCTTTGGAAAGTGTAAAGAAATAAAATTTACACATCAGCTTTTACAGTTTTCAAAGCTCTCCAGACATATCACTAAATATAGCTAATTCTGCAAGGATCTATACAGATGAAGAACCACATGAACTCTGAATACCTATTTTCAAGGTATTTCTGATGCTGCTTTGTCACATTTTTTGTTTTTAGCAACATAAGTTTTAAGAAGAGATGAGATGGTCTGTATTTAAGCGTTTTCTTACATAATGATCTACTAATTCTTTTCCTCAACATTAATGCCCTCCTGAGAAGCATTGCTGACTCCAAGGATAGCTACATTAGTTTCTCAGCAGCCTTTATATTAGGCAGCACATTCAAGTTACAGGTTGTAACCTACTCAACCAGAACAGAACCAGAATCTTTGAATCTGAAATACAAAACCAAGTCCTAGGAATATCAGCGAGTTCTACCGCATCAAAAACACATTTTACCAGGTATGTTAAAATGTTGTGATGGAGACAGTGAATTGTTCACTGCCCCACAGAATTAGGAGTAAAAAAAACATGTATCAATCTAAACCACCGTATGACCTTGGTTTAATCCTCATTGCAAAGCCTTACCTCACCTTGCTTTTGCCATTCCTTGCCACTCCTACTGGAGCTGCAGTGCCATCATCACTGCTTTCTGGAGCCTGATGAGCTGTGGTTTATCTGCTGTTTTGTGCCCATTGCCTAAAGGAACGCGACTTCAGATTTCAGGGTCCTGTGGCTACCAGGACAATTTACCCTGCTCATGTTAGAGAAGGGGCACTCGTAGCAATCTTGCTGTATTTGGTAAAGAAATGAAACATGAATAAAGGAGTGCTCTATTTCTCTTTAGCTGCTAAGTACAAGATTTAACGTAATCAACACTTCTCTGGGGTAAGGACCTCATCCTGTGCCGTGTTGCTGTTGTTTTTTTAAACCTGCAGGGTTTCTTTCCCCCTCCCTCTTCTTCATGTATTCAAGATGAGAGAAGCTTCAGTGAGCACAGAGACCAGTATTCCAATTTATTCAGCAGCAACCTCTGTGGACTGCTAACAGTGAAATGTGATTCTGCTTGGATTACAGGGTATGGACAAGTAACTTGATGCTTAATCTATCACTGTCAATGCAGGTAAGGGAAGAACTTTTACCTATGAGAAATCAGGCAGAGGAAAAGATTGAGATTGGGGAAAAAAAAAAAAAAAAAAAAAAAAAAAAAAAAAAAAAGTGGGGGGCAAAAGGACAGCTGAAATGAGGGATTTGTGCCCTCTCTTTAAGAGCTGCATGGACAACCACATGCAGAGGTAAGTAGGAAGTGAGGGAATGGGACAAAGGACCAGGGTGCTCATAGAAAAGTAGCAAATAGTCGAAAGGAGACAGACAGGTTCTAAGCAGAATTTTTCAATGGCAATGAAAATTTCACCTCCAAGATAATCTATCCTTTCTATTACACTGATCCCAGTGTAAAGTGGTAGAGCCATTTGAGACCTCTGTAAATGTTGATGGTTACTACTACAGTACAGGCACAATCAATAAATCTCAAGTACATCATAATGGAACCTCAAAGCCTGTGCATACAAACCTGTCAGTAAACTGGGACAGTATTACAAATAGACAAAGGATAACGCAAGGACTGCAAAAAAACAGAGCAGGGCAGAGATGAGCGGATTTCCTGGAGGAAGGAGAGGATGGCAAGAAAGATGAGAAGGGGGTGAACTATTTAGATGTACGGGATGGAGAACATTGTTAAAAGCACACCATTTTTTTACATGATGGGAGGATTCAGTGATGGAGAAGAAAACACTGAAGGGAATAATAAGACCAGGGATTATTTTGTTTTTAAAGGAACCCCCAGAACTGATCCCATCACGCTTCTCTCTGGTCATCACCCACCACAGCCTGTAGAACTCCCTTTCACAATCCAATTGGAGAAGCAATTAATTTCATTTGCATATAGCAGGCTGTGTGTTTTTTCCTACAGGTACTGATTAGTGTTGTTATGTGCTTGTCTGACAGGACGTATGGCAAACAAATGTGCAAAATGGGGCACTCGCGCCAGAAAAGAACCCAAAAGCTGCCTTCTAAACCGGCACACTACTTTGAGGTTCAAACAACACCAAAAAAAAAAAAAATGGGGGGAAAAAATCACTTTTAACCAACTGCCCCCTTTGAACTCAGAGCCAAAACACTGGTGCGTAACGGCCACCAGGGGCGCGAGCCCCCAGCCGTTGGGCGCATGCGCAGAGCCACCCTCAGGCATGGGTGCGTTGAGGGGGGTGCGGTCATGCGCATGCGCGGGCAGGGCCTCAGCCAGGCGGGCGGGTGAGGGCGCTCCTGCACGGAAGATTCCATTCGTTTGGGAAGGGGGGGAGATAGTAAATGGAGGGTTTTATCCCTTCTTCTCATTCTTCTTTTCCCTTCTGTGTGCTTCCAAACCACTGTTATATAGTTTTTTGCTCGTAGTTTTAGTGTTTTCTGCCGCCTGCCCTGTGGATTAATTTCGGCTAGATGGTACGATCCCCTGCGTTCTACCCAATAAGAAGTCGGCTCTTGAAAACGTAACAGTTGCTAGGCAGAAATCACCCTCTCGCATCCGCACCACTAAAGCACCTCCCCCGAAAGGGGCGGGGACTCGGGTTTGACTGACAGGACGCTCGGAGGGCGGGAAAAGCCCGCCAACCAATAGCAACTCGCGGTAGCCTTGATGAGCAGAACTCACAGCCAATTGAATCGGAGAATGCTGAAGGAGGCGGGGCGCCCCGTTGCTAGGGCCGCGGCGTTGCTAAGGCCGCGGCAGAGGCGGGTGGCGGCCGCCGCCTTCCCCCGGATCGGGCCGGGCCGGGGCCATGGTGAAGCTGGGCGCCAAGTGCCTGCTGGCAGGTGGGTCCGGCCCCAGCCGCCACAGCCGCGGGGAGCCGCCGGTGCGGAACGGCAGCGAGGGGAGGCGGCCCCGGGGCGGGGGAGGTGAGGGAGGGGGCGGGTGGGCGACTGGGGCAGGGCAGGCCCCGAGGGGTGTGGGGGGGGTGGGCCCTGAGGGAAAAGTCCTGTCAGGGTTTGTGGGGGGGGGGTTGTCCTGTCAGGCTGGGGGCTCGGCTGCACGCACGGGGGATGGTTTCTTCCCGAGTGACTTAAAAAAAAAAGAAAAAAAAAAAAAAAAAGGAGGTAAAAAAAGGAGGTGAAAGCTGCTGCTGGAGGAAAACTTCATCGCTTTTATTTATTTATTTAGTTATTTATTTATTTATTCATTTATTTATTTATTATTCTCTTCGTGGAAGCTCTGCGCAGTTTGAGGCAGAAGACCCGAAAGAGAAGACCTTAAACCTTTTGTTTGCAGGCAACACGTGGGTGTCGCTCTTGGCTCCAAACCTGTCTTCCTTCACCCAGAATAAAGCCTTTGCCTTCTCTTTTTATACCCATCAGAAACAGATGACCATCAGCTTGCACAAAGCCAGGTGCGAGCTTGGCAAACGCAGAGCAGTTATTCCCCCAGCTCTTTCTTTGTGATCACTGTGGACAGTACCGTGGCCTGTCTTGTAGACTTGAAACTTGCACACTCCTTCCCCTGTGGGAGTTCTCAGGTCCCAGTCTATAGGCTTTGCTGAAGTCTTTCAGGTCTTGATGTTTAATGTTATCAAAGGCCAATTCCACGACAAGTCTAGATTCTCGTAGCTTTTCCTTGGGTTACCCAGTTACGTGCTTAAACCCAATTGGGTTTGGAGCTGCGTTTGCAATTCTGTTCACAATACAAACAACAGAAATGTCTTGTTCCGTATGCAGTTCTCCTAAGTACTAGGATAATATCCGTATATTACTGAAAATAATAAATTAATGTAGCATACCTGGCAAAATGACTTCTTTCTTCCAGAAGAGAGAGCTATAATGAAATGGATATGAGCGATGAGTAACCGCCACAATCTGGAGGGAACAAGAGAATGCGCTTACAGTGGTAGAAGTGAAAACATCAGAGGTAGAGCAAGAAACGCTTGTGTACCTAAGGAAATTATGAAGAATAGACTGGATCACAGTACTGGGAACTGCACTGAGGTCAAGGAGATCAGCAGAGGGGAAAAGGGCTTTTATTAGCAAAAGAGAGACCTTTAACTTGACAATAGAAAGCGATTCCTATGTTATCTCAAGGGTAATTTGCGGACACAAAGCCAAAGATGTTGTTTGAGCTTACTGTGGAGACACTGTGAAGGGGTTTCCTTTGTAAAGAGGTAGTTGTCAGCAGCAGGCATTTTACAGACGCGCTGCAGTTTTTGGCAGAATAACGGAAATATGGGTGGAAGAAAAGCTGTGGGATGCAGCACTTGCAGATGACACCAAACTAAATGAGAAGGGCGAGGAAACTTATTTTGAGAAAGTGTAACGATATAATGGGCTAAGAGGATGGCAAAGAAGAATAAAAGAGGGGGGAAAATGGGGCTGTCAAATTAAAGAAAAGTAACACATTAGGTAAGAATTTGTACTGGGTGATGAAAATAAAGGCAGCCTGCGCACTTCTGAGCAATGTGTGCTTCTCTAACTCATTTCACAAAGACAGATCTAATTGTCTATTGAAATACAGAATAGCTTCCACCCAGAACAGAGTGTTGTCTTCAGCACAAGCTTGGATTGATCAGGGAACAAACAAGCTGATTTACCAGATTTTCCTGTCTAAATATTATGAGCCCAACTCAGCTCAAAGTAAGCAAGCACGCTAAAAATGTTTTAACAAGAACTGCATTTAGTTAATGGATCTAGGAGCAATTGGCGCTCTCCAAAATACCCTTCCTACTCTACAGTATCATGCCAGAAGATAGCTTTCCCAGTCTCTTTCACAGCCTCATCCAGGAAGCTGTAATAGGGTCAAAATAGACCCCTTTCTGGATTTCTTTATTAACAATGTAACATGGGGGGTCGGTATCCCATGCTTGGCTGTTGTGAATGTTCCTTTCAGGAAAAAGCTCAAACACTGAGATATTTAATTCCTGGTTTCTGTCCCTTTGAACCATCCAGGCTGCTGAAAGGATATGTGAAGAGAGGGTAAGCCCTCAGGGAACGTTGTTAACTCTTTGTTTTGCAAGGATAACGTTATGTTTCATGGAATGATGTGAGCATACCTGAATTCTGCAGTTCTCTGCCATTGCTTTGGGTCGTAGAGAGTAAGATTGTAACAGTGACCCAAACAGGGCAGATCTAAGGCTTCCCAAAGTGTTATGCAAACCACATCGGTAAACCTTAGCTCTAGAAGAGCAAACTCTAAAGCCCCTTGGTTTGCCTTCCATGCAGGGATGAATCAGCAGGCTCTTTCTCTCCAGCCAAGTGACATTTGCTTCTGTTATGCCCAGGATGCAACTAATGAGCCACCGGCAGCATTGAGTCAGCAAGAGTTGCTCACTTAGCAGGGTCAGCAAGAAGAGTTCATCGAGGAATGTTACCAGCTTAAACAGCTTTGTAGTATATAAATGACCTGTCTCTCCCTTAATCTCACTATATAACAAGAATTTGAATTTGTGGAAATTTGTGTACCAAGGAGAGAAATCAGCCTGTGCAGCCCAGTCTCCCATAGCCTGGTATGTTTTTATCTGTATGACACTATATCTGGAAAATCTGAGTTCTTTGATAAAGGCTATGGGGTAGAACAAACAGCGAGTCAAGCCTGATCTGGAGACCCTTTACTGTTACTCATGGAGTAGAAATCTGATATCAGCAACAATATACGTAATGGCAATATTTATTTCATCCCATAGGTAGTGCCTTTTAGATTATTTTGCGCTTCTCGTGACAGTTATCTTGCCTGTATTCAGATTTGCAGTGCCCAAGTTCTTATGGCATAAGATAGGAATAGAAATGAGGGAAAATTAGATTCTCTAAGATTAACAATTTATTTTTTTTTATCTTTGTTTTTTTCAGGTGATCCAGCTGTGGGGAAGAGTGCTTTGGCTCAGATGTTCCGCAGTGATGGGGCTCATTTTCAGAAGAACTACACACTGGTAGGCATAAATGACACAACAGGCTCAAACTGCTATCCGACGACTTTTCTAAGTCACACAAGAGAAATTAGAAGCTCTAGAGCAAAATAAATAATGTGATTTTAAGCTGAGGTGTTCAAAGTGGGTCTTATGTGGTTTTCTTTCTCTTGCACCTTAGATTCAGAAGAGAAACTGTGTAATGTTCTTCTATGTAAGTCTTTACATTAAGTGGGTGCTAGTTTTGAAACAATGCAGAATAAATCAATTAATTTTTATAATTTTCCTGCGGAACAAATATTTTCACAAGCTTTTGCGGTGTTAGAGAATTTCCCCCTTTAGGGAATGCTCTATGAAAAAGCACTGCTGAAGGAGAAAAGCTCTTAATTCCAACTATTAAATGTGCATGTGGACAGTGTGCTTATCACTATGCAAACATGAAGATGTGCTGCACAGCCCCAAGATAATTATAATCTACAGAAACTGTTCCCAGATGAAGAGGATACAGTTTGCAGTCTTTCAGTGAGAGAATCAATGGTGATGACTAATCAGAAGCAGGATAAAAATAAAAGTAAATATAAGTAAAGTAAAAAAAGGAAAATATGAGTGCGGGGAAAAAAACTAAAATATGTTTATTCATTGAAATAAAGATGGAAACCAGAAGTTAAGGATAGAAATAGAACAAACAAACAAGCTACAAAGCAGAATGAGATAAAAGGTGGAAGAGGCATGAATAATCTCAGTCCCATATGTTAGCTGATCACATGGTTGGTGCAAAACGTTCTAAGGCATGCAGTAGAGCAGCAATGTGATAGTAAATGTGGCCCCACAGATACCAGCTAATACCCTAGGATACAGGCAAAGATCTGGATGTTGGTACTGCTGCATCTTTTTTTTTTTTTCCTTTTGAGCAAATCTACACAGCTCTGACATGTAAGCAGGACTGTGTTACCTGAGCTATGAGGAGTGTTGCTGAGTTCCCTTCAGCCTGTTTGATGGAATTGTAATGATTCACAAGAATTGCCTCGGTCCAATGTGTAGTTGGTCTGCAGTTGGAAGGGCTCTTAAAAAGTCTTCTGAACCTTGTTTTCCTGATTCTTTTTGACAGACAACGGGCATTGAACTGTTGGTGAAGGCTGTATCAGTTCCAGAGACAAGTGATAGTGTGGTGAGTTTTTCTGTGACATAAATTGGGTCAGAAAGAGACATCCGGAGCTCAAGCCTCACTTTCTATCTCGTTCTAGTGTAAGATTGCACTGCGTGTTCATAAGGCCATTAAGTTGCGTTAAGGAAATGAGACTGGTAGTATACAAGTGCTGAGACTCTGGGGTTAGTTTAATCTTAAAATATATTTTACATAGTTACGTCTAACAGGGCATGTTAAACCAAAGCTGTTGGCAGCATCATTAGGTCTCTGTTCTGTCTTTTAAGATGTTCGGTTTAGTTTATGTTGGAAGTTGAGACTCATCCATTTTTTTCCTTAATGCCCTACGGTCCCACTACTGGGATGTGGACACGTGTATCGTTTTGTATAAATAGTGCAGGTTAGCTTCTTACTGCCTCACTACACATATTCTGCTTCCAGTAGGGGCAGAAACCATACCCAGGGCCCCAGAGGTGATCCTTTTATTGTTTATTCATGAAAAATAGCCATTTATTTTCTCATCCTGTCTGAATTTGGGAATGCTCAGTGCAGGCAGCTCGTCTCTTAGGGACGTGAGACTGCTGTACTGAACAAAATGCAGGAATGGCAAGTTCCAGTATTTACCTTCAAAAACTTGCCCTACACTGTGGTATTCCTGGCAAGAACCTTCTCTCTGCTTCTGCTTTCAGGAATTCTTCATTTTTGACTCTGCAGGAAAAGATCTATTTTCTGAGATGCTGGAGAAACTGGTAAGTATTATGTAACAGTCCTCTCCTTCCAAAGGAGTGCTTTTGCTTTGAAGATCTGAACTCCCCAGTCTGACAGATACAGCAAACTTTGTCTTTAACATAAATGGGAGCGATTACTTCAATTGCCAATGCTTCCTGTTCTACCTATCTGAAACTTGTAAAAGTACTAGAATACTTTCAGGAAGAAAGCAGGCAGATAATCCTTCAGTTTTCTCACAAAAGAAATAGGGATATATAACTGGCAATATTTGTGTGCTGTTGCTTAAAGTTATTTTTATTTCTTAGAAAAAAACATCTATTTTGCTGCTACTCCAGCAGTGGTTTGTTGTTTTTGTTTTGTTTTGTTGTTGTTGTTTTCTTTTTTTTTTTGTTATAGTGATGTCTTTGCAACAGGACACATTCTTGTCCTTGAGCATAACACTGTCCTTGATTTTTTTTTCTCCTTCACTCATTCCTGTCCTTACCTTTACAGTTCTTCATTGTGCTGCCTCATTTGAAAAGGTGTAGGATCAATTAATTGATGCCAAGTTTGATAAGATGGCAGAATCAACCTAATGGTTCGTTGCTCTACAAGAGGCAGTTGCATTGTTGCCCTTGCACCACGTCTGGTTTGCAGGGGACCCCTCTGAAAGCTGATTCAGCTTCTCAAACTGGCAGAAAACCTTTTTACTTTTTTCCCTAGGATTAATTTTGTACTGATTCAGCATGAAGAATCAGCTTCCTCAGGGATCAGATGAGTGCCAGAGCTGGTACAAGTAAAGGAGCAGGACCACACAGACAGGAATGGGGAAGGAAAGCAAGACCACCACTCTCGCTGCCACCTACCCAGTTAATCAACTTAACAGAGATGTGAAACCTCAGCCTGGGCGTAGGGTTCCTGTATATTAGGCTTTTTATTTTTGTCTCAGCATCTGTGTTTGCCATGCAGATGCAGGCTGGCTGTTGACCACATCATTCTCATTAGAGCTGACAACGTTCCTTTCTTGCTGTGCAGTGGGAGCAACCAAACGTCCTGTGCCTTGTGTATGATGTCACTAATGAGCAATCTTTCAACAACTGTGCCAAGTGGCTGGAGAAGCTGAGGGCTCAAGCAGTTGGAATGCACATCCCAGGTAAGAAGGGGGTGACATTCTTGCTGTCTGCTCCCCTTTTGTATGGCAGCAGTTGTTCCTGTTGAGATGTGGCACGGAATATTTATTTTAAGGCAGGTGCAGACATGGCTTCCTCCGATTCATCTGCTTTTGTCACAACTCAGATAAGACATGAGGATGTTTGAGATGATGCCTTAGTGGAACCTTTTCTAGATAGTTTTAGACTGTTATCCGTGCCTCCGACTTTATCAGCTACTTCTACAAATGTTCCAACGTTTATTACTAACAAATCATCATTTCTGGTTTTCCTTTGTTTCTCTTCTTTTTCTGTAGGTGTCTTAGTGGGGAATAAAACAGATCTGGTTGGTCGTCGAGTTGTGGAGCAGAAACAAGCACAGGAGTGGGCTGACAAGCATGGCCTGGAATACTGTGAGATGTCAGTGGTGAGTATCTGCTCTTTTCACCATCTGTGGAAGTGGGTGTTGTAAAGTTATCTTCTCTTTCAGGTGAGGAAAGATAACTGGGGGCTGAATTCTGCTTATTTGTCCTCTAACTCACCCTCAGTTTTAAGCTGTCTTTTGTGAAGCTGTTAGAGCATAAATAGTAAAATGCTTATCCCATCTGTCATTCACAACTTTCTTGTTTCCTTTTCAGAAGGAGATGAGAAATTTTGAGGCCCCTTTCCACATCCTGGCAAAGTCATTCCACCAACTGTACAAAGAGAAAGTGGAAACCTTTCGCTCACTAGCTTGAGGGCCGTGACTGGGAATGACTTAATTAGCTTTTGAGCTTCTTCTGGGGCCCAGAATCCTGCGGACTGGGATGCAGAGAGAAGAAAAAAGATGATTGCTCCCTCATGGTTATCTTCTGGTAATTCAAAATAAACTAGAAATAAGCAACTGGAAAGACATTCTAATGAAGTTGCTACCTCAGCATTCCTTTTGTGTCCTCTAACTTGGTTCTCTGCTCACTGAAAGTCTGGTAGGTTGGAGGAGGCGGGGAGTAAAAGGGGGAGGGCAGAATGGAAATTGCCAGCTTTTTGCTTTGATAGTGCCTTGTCTCATGTCTCAGCAGACTTCCTGCTGCTACAAACAAGGATATAGAGGTTTGGAGGAGGAGAGAGGAAGCTGACAGGATATTTTTCAACTTAAGCAACCCAGCCTTGCAGGACAGGGCTGCCTCGGTCCTACTACTTGAAAAGCATTTGCAGTAGGAAGCCTATGCCCTGTAGCTGATACATGGAGACTCAGATATACGGTGATTGAGGTGGATTTAGGTGTGTTTCTGGGGGGCGCCCAGAGTTTGAGGCCTATTTTAAGTGTTACCCATTTCATTTGTAGCACTGGTAGGCTGATGACTAATATCTTTTTCTAACTGGTGGTATCTGGTTCTTTTTCTCAATGAGGCTCGCTTTCTCTGCCTGGCAGGAGCTGTCTGTCTTGCATCTGTACCACTGTCACTTGGTAATGCAGTGCCCTCTGCTGGCCCCAGGTCACAAGATTTCTGAAGAAGCTACCTCTGATGAAGCAAGCAGAACCTTCTACTGTCACATCCAAATTGGCGTATCTGCAGAATGGGGTCATATAGTAAGAATACCTCTTTTATTCCAGGGACAAATCTAAGACTTAAATTATCTTTCTTTCTTCATGCATTTGTTATTTTATGTGGTTTTGTGTCATTTTTCATCTTGTCAGCTGAGCTTTTCAATTCCATGTTCTCATTAGATTTAGTTTTCAATCTCTTACTAGAATCAGACTCATCCTTATTGTTAAACTTTCCCTGCCTATCCTTGAATTTCAGAGCAAAGACCATGATTCTGATATCACTAGTGGAAGCAAGATTTGGTAAATGAAAAACAACCTAGCTAAGTTACTTTGATTCAGCCATGTCTGGCTGGAAGTTTTGTATCAGAAAGGACAAAAGCCTAGAGAGAACACTCTTTTGTGTGGTGCATTGATGTCACCTCTGTAAGAATATCTGCTAATGCAGTACGTGAAAGCATTCATGGTTAGGCACTGCTTTGCAGCTGGGCCTAACACTGAGGAGCTCAAAACCGTAACCTTTCTCTACTCCTAAAATTACATTAGCCTCCCTTGGGCAAGGGAGGCTGATTTTCATGGAGAATAAACACTGAGGGATTTTTCAGGCAGGCTTTTCAGGAATCTGTGTTTCAAGACTTTTATATATTTTATAACCATTTTTATGCCCAGTGCTAGGAATATGACTGTAGATGTTGTAGCAGACTTTATGAAACACCTCAAGAATCTGGAATAGCAGCTGGGCTCATTTCATTGGCAACAGCGTGTTGATGCTGGGAATTAGCTAGGGAGCATGAATACCAGCTAAAGGGGTTAAGCAGGAGCTGAGCCCTCTAGGAAAGAAAATGAATAATTTTTTTTCTGTTTGCTTGTTTTTTTCCCCCTCAAGAAGCCACTTGGGAAAATATGATAGTACTAGTTAGGAAAGCTTTTACTTCCTCCAAATAAGGAGGACTCCTCCATGGATTTAGGGTCACTAGAAGATTCACCCTTTTTGACTTGTCTTGGCATCCTTCTTGTACATGGGTTGCCTTGTGAATTCTGGGGGCTGTCTCTTTATTTACATGGGCTGAGTAGGGGTTTGCCTGCAGATGTTAGTGCCTCTGCCTATTAAGAATAAAAGCTATTTTGAATGCTGTGCTGATCTAGTTAAAGAACCAAAGAAGGTTTGTTTTGATTTGGTAGCTCATTTGCCCCTAGTTCTACTGATGATGTGATTACAACACAAGACGGATATTTTTTCAGACCGAAAATATCGTGCCAGGTGTGTCTGCCACCTGTGACGTGGTGTAGGGGGGAATGAATGCCTTGGGAATAGGTGATGAAATGAATCCCATATAATCTTTAACTAGGGAGTTCAATCTCTCTGCCCCAGAAAGACTTCCCATAGCTTCAAATAAACAGTCAAAATGCACCAGTAAGTTGAAGATCGGTGAACATTGTTTTATTAAATGAACACAGAAGCTGGAGGATCTCATTAAGGGAGTGCTTGCAGAGGTGATTTGTGATTTATAGGGAACCTGCTTTTGATAGGTTAGTGAAGAAAAATGCATCCCATGCAGGGAAAGATATATTGCCTGAGAGAGGAAACATATAATCTAATTAGCTATCAGTAGGGATTCACCCACTGCCCCTTTCTTTCCTTCCACCGGCCAGGACTAGAATTAGAAAAAAGGTTGTCCCTAAAGCATGTAGCCCAACTTGATTTTACGGCACTGTTTCAAGGACTAACGTAGACACGATTTAATGTCTGTCAAAATGGTGTGTTTGGTCGTCACCGTCTCAGTCATTCCAAATGCATTTTAAAAGCGTAATATATTGTTCCTTCGTGGCTAATGTGCTGTACGATACCAGCATGATGCAGGCGATGCTATTTTCCTAATTTGACCTTGATTGTAGAGACTAGTAGTGAAGGGTGAGTGGAGTCCATGGGAGCCAGATACAGACAGGCTGTGAAAAAGAGTTTTGTGTCTGTGTGAAGGAGTTCGAGTAGTGAGTAGGTGAGCAGGACGAGTAAGAGTCTGAAGCCATTAGTAATTTCTCTTACTGTGGCCAGCAGCTGTTGTGGTCATATCTGTAGAGCGAGGATGCTTTTTGCTGCTTATAGCCTTTGCAATTCCCTGAATTACAGACACCGTGGAGGACGGTGGGAGGAAGGCAGAAAGCATGTCTGCTGACCAGGAAGCTTGTTGTCTTCTTACAGCTCCCCTACTTTGTCCAGCTGTGCATGCTGAGCACCTGCAGCAGTGAATGTTTACAACCTAGAAGAGCCTCAGCTCAACCAGAACTGAAATTTCAAAAGAAGGGAGAGAAAACAAGCAGCATTTTTAACTGTCTGTAAGAGATTAATATATAGTCCTTTTATAGAAGCTTGTTTGATTAAAAAAAAAAAAAATCTTTCCTCCTCAGAGCCCCTCCTTCTTACCTTTTCTTTGGTCCTCATTTCTCATGCTTCTGCTCTATAGAATCCCTGTTACACTTGTGCCCTGCTTTACATGGCTTGAAACATTACCAGCTGATTTTTAAAACCTTCTCATTTCCCCATTGACTATTCCCAAGGCTACCTTTCATCTTAGAGAGATTAATAGATAAAAATTTTTAAAAAGTGGAATTTTTAGTCAAATTGTCATGGAAGACTGAACTTCAGGAAGCTGACTGACATTCTGAAATTTTACTGGAAATCTGTTTTTGTAAAGTTGTCATGTTAAAGATGCTTCAATGGTTTGGTTTGGTTTGGTTTTGCCAGACATATTCTACCATGAAGCGAAATGCAGGATGTAGAACTGCAGAAAGATCAGGTCGTATTGTGGGATTTAATAGGAGTTTCAAAGCTGATCACACTGTGATAAGAGCTGTTCAGTCTTAACAATGGAGTGGTCACTGCTGTTCATAATAAAGCATTAAATATACTGAAATGGGGCTGTGAAAAAGTTCCTTGTAGAGATTTATTCATTTTAGAGACTTAAAACTTTAGAAAAGACATCTTTCAGAAAACCGATCTGATAAATTACACCATTTGGTCCAGGGTTATTTCTGATATAACTTTGGCGACTTGAAGGGCTGGATTTAGTCTTTTATTCCAGTTGACTCCCTTGGGTAAGCTTCATTTCTTTACCTTCTATATACATCTTGGGCCAATCTGAACTGATAGCAAAAGACACATGATGCTGTTGAAAATGAAATACTGCCTTGGGGCAGAAGGATAAACCGTGTGGCCTCCTGAGGTCCTCCAAGCAATACTTTATATAATTCTATTAGATTAAGTGGGGAAAGAAGTAGTGTGGAAAGCACAAAACAGGCTAAGTCATAAACTAGCAATTAAACTGGGAGCTGGGCCGGGCTACAGCAGAAAACGTACAATCTATCCCAATTAAGAGCTGTATCTCAAGAGAAAGCAGGAGCCTGACGCAGGTGCTGACAGCAGGGAAAACACTGTATTTCTGTTCTGCAGGCAGCAAATGCTTTCTGCTGGTGCTTACACAGACCCGTGGGGGTCCATACCCTGCTCAAGACTATGCTGTGCTTTTAATAATTACTGTATCTGTGATGTTCAGGTGGCAACTGCTTGCAGTTGTTGTCTCATCTGCCTGTATAAAGCCAGCAGTGGGATGGCAGATCCCTGCTAGTAGCAGGAAGACATTCCTATTCTGGATACCATCCGTTATGGGACCCCTCTCTCTCCATGGGGTCTCGGTCTTTCTTTTCCAATCTCATATCCACTTCTTGATGGGGAATAGCCACCTCTGTTTGTTCTTAGCAAGTGATCTTTTCATCTTGCAGATGGTACTCCGTGGTCCTGCGGCTAAGAGATTTCTAGGACCTTCTGCAGCAGAGGTGGATTCTGAGCAGGAGCTATTCAAGGGCCATGTTGGCCCCCCCACGTCCCTCTTAGCCTCAGGGCACATCATCTCACTGCTTCTCGCATCCCATTTCCTCCTCCTGCTGTCATCTTGCCTTGAGAACAATGTCTTCTGTGCCAGTTGCCCTTGGCTCTGTTGACCCGGAACAGCAATGCTTGGGGGAGGGAGAAAGCAGAGAGCCCCTCAATCTCTGCTCCTTTCGGTGCACTTAGGTGTTGTGACTCCCTGTCCAAGTCCCCTGAGAGAAGGGGACGTTGCTCAGTCCAGAGTGTAATTTCCTGGCAGAAGACCCCCAGCAGAGTCCTGGCAGCCTCCTCTTGGCTCTTCAGAGCTTGCCGCAGTGTAACTTTCACAGACACTGGCTGTTCTCATTTTGACTTGGAGTTGTGGATTATTTTTTCTTATTATTATATTTTTTACTCCTTGGGGGTCTTTCTCTCATTTTTCTGCCACAGCTTCACGTATTTCCTCCCCTAGAGCTGTTTGTCAAGAAAAGCCTGGAATTGCTCTCTTTCCTGGTCTCTGAGATCAAATCCAAATTTGGCAATGTTTAAAAGGGAAATGTGACAGACCCTACATGCCAAGCTGGGGTCAGGGATGGGGTCAGTTTGATGAGCTTCCCTCCAGCCAGATATGTTTCAGCTGGAGAAATGAGCCTGTAATCTTTCTGCACAAGTACTGGAAAAATAAACAACGTGAGGACTTAAAGTTAGGGACTGTTAGAGCAGGTACACAGGCAGAACTGAGCAGCTGCTGCGTCTTGAGCAGTGGAAATGCAGGAGCAGTCGGAGAACAGGCGAGTGTAAGAAAGAGTGGGGTGTGTATTCCTTCACGAAAAGCCCAAGGGATTTGCCGAGGCAGAGTGGGAGGGTGGGAAATCTGAGTGGAAAGGCCTAAGGGTTTTCCTCGCTTGTAGAATTATGTATGGAAATCAAGTGGGAGGAAAAGTAATTTTTGCTTGAGCCATTGAGGGAAAGTGAGGATACATGCGAGTGCTGCAGGTTGGAGAGCAGGTGGCAAGAATAAATAACTGAACATCGACTGGCAGGGCCCAGATCTCTGGGCCAAGGTTGGTTTGGGGAATTCAGCGCTGTGACGAGTAAGGTCAACGGTTGCCATAAGTTTAGGTTCAAGTTGTAGGGCCTGCGTTAGAACAAGGCAGGGTGAATTAGAGTCTGCGTGACAGGGTCAGTGCTGGGGTTATGATAGGGCAATAGTGAGAACCCATAATGACAAGTAATGTGGGGAGATAATTATAGTACACTGCGCTGCTCTGAGGAGCAGTGGCTGAAGTCAGCACATTCAGGTGAGACCAGAAAAAGCAGGTAGGCTACAGAAACGGTGGAAGAGTGTGAAGTGATGCTGGAAATTCAGCTTGAGTTCAATTCTTCTGAGGGGAGGGTAATAGACACCTACGATTATTACCTGCAGAGCTTTGTATTATTACAACACAAATTAATTCTGTTGTTTCTGTTGCTAGAAACTGGGTGATACGTTTGCTTAAACATTTTTCTTTTTTTAGGGGGTGGGGGGACAACCAACCCATAATATTTCTGCATAATTGTGCTGCAGCCTCCTGAATACATTATACACATCCATTCAGAAAATGAAAAGAGAACCTGCACTTCACCTGGCCAAGCAGATGTGACGGCTGCAACTTGAGCATTGACATTTTACAACAAAAGCTTCATGACCAGTTTGCACTGCAGAAGACCTCCCCAAAACACCAATACGTAACCTAAAAAAGAAATAGAAAAATGCAATGTGTATGTGGTCAATATAAAGCAGGTAGAAATCACCTTGTTCACGAATAAAACTAACTACAATTAAAAATGCCCTCAGCTCTGCATGGGAGGAATCTCTTTTCTGTGTTGGTTTCCTTTCTTTGCTTTTGCTAATCTCTTGATTCTTGCAAAGCATCACGTACTCTAACAGTTGTGCGTGACCACTGCGTGCTATTTCTGGGCCTTTGTTTTTGTGATGTTGGATGGCTTCAGTGTGAGGACTGTGAGCCAGGACGTGTTGGGATTCAGGTTGCAGTTGAAGCATCAGGCATGAAATCAGTTTGTGAGGGCAGCAGAACAGAGGCTGGGAAAGAGTCCCACAGTTAAGATCATGCTTTTTTTGCAGTGCTGTTGTCAGCAGAGGTATCAGGCTGCAAGGAATGGGAAAGTGTTAGGGAGAGGACAGGGGGATGTTTTGGGTACGGACACAAGCAGATTAATGCAGCTCTTTCTGGACTCTGAACCCACCGAGACCTGGGCATGTTTTTTTTTAAGTGGACTGAGTCGTTGCTGTTGATGCCCACCCAACTAAGGCTGACTGCCAGGGATGGCTTTAGGCAGACGTGATCACTGAATGCCACCTGGGTCCACAACCTTTCTGATACCCAATTCCTCTGCGCTCTCCATGCCTCTTGCTGGGGTTATAAACCAACACCAGGAAAAAAACACTTGGCCTTTCTGTACACTGCCACCCTCCCCGACTCCTCTGCTCCCCATCTGTGTGAGGCTTGAGCCTGTGCCCTGCTGGGCTGGCACAAAACTGGACCGGTACGGGAGCGAGAGAGCTGTGCCCACATCGGATGCGCGTCTCCGTGCGGGTGAGGGGCATCCGAGGCAGGCACCCTTTCCTCCTTTTATCAGACTGCTCTCATTTATTATACCATCTGTTTTCCCAGCGCCGGAGATGATGCTGGGGATATGTGACTTGGGGCACTCAGGCAGAAACTGGCCTGCACAAGGCCGGCCATGTGTTTGCCTCCTAGCAATGCAGCGGTCAGCAGCAAATTCTTTGCCGCCGCCTCCTCTCAGTATGGGAGAGAGCGAGCGTGGGCCTGGGTGTGTAGGAGACACAAAGAGATGAAAAATGTGAAGGGGGGGAGGCAGGCGAGGGGAGATGCGCCGGGGTCCACGGGTGTCAGCTCGAGAGGAACCGGGGGAAAGCGGGACAGACGGACAGATGGGATGAAGAATGGGTTGGTGGGAGGGAAAGGACAGGCGGAAGAATTGGGGTGAGGGGAGACCGCGAGAGCAAGGCTGAGCAGGAAGGACAAGCAGGAGGATTCGGTCGGTGTGTGGCGGGGAGAGAGATGGATTGTCTGTGGGAGAGAGATGTGTGTCAGCCAGGCGCTACGGTAATAGGTAACGGGATAACTACAGAGATGGAGATAAAGCGATTGCGTGCGTGCCTGTTTGTATATGCCTGTGCAAAGGGGGAGCTGAGTGAATGACAGGGAGGGAGAACAGCCATAGGGAGCGAGGAGAGAGATAAAGCAGAGCTATAAGAAGGAGCAAAAGAGCAAAGCTAGAGATGAACCGTGGGGAAAAAAAAAAAGAAAAAAAAAAGAGATGTGGGAAGGCGAGGCAGCCTCGCAGTGCAAACAAGAGCTGGGATTTAGCAGGGGGACAGGAGGGGGCTCATAGGAAAAGGGAGGCTAACACAACTACACTTGTGTACTTGGGGCTGAGGTTCTACTGGGGCCGGAGAGAGGATGCAGGGCAGAGATCAGAGCACTAAATCTCCGGTACTAAAAGGAAGCATTTCCACGCACGCACGGCTCGCTGCTGGTGCAGGGACCCAGTGGACCAGGGAATGTAAATGCCAGCGTGCAGGCGCAGGTTGTTTCCTGCCTGCTGAACTGCAGAGTACCTGAGCATCTGCAACCTGTGGGCTGCCTCTTGCCAGCGTGCCTGCTTGGCTGCTGGGAGCTGTTTAAGATGGCAGGTCAAGCATTTATTTATCATTTTCTTCTCCTCCCTCTTGCCCTTTATCCTTGCAGTGCGCTCTCAATGGGAAAGGAGACATGAAAAACACAGTGCCCAAATTCACAGGCACTTTTGTAATTCTTCCACCTCATGTCATACTCGCCACCTTGCTTTGCTGCCTGACCCTACCACCACCTTGACCATTTCTTTTCTTTTCTGTCCTTTGCCATGTCTGTTTTCATCTCCTTCCTTACGCCTTCCTTCAACTTTCCATCATTTTAAATTTTCACTCTTCCCTGTAACTCCATTCCCCCTTCTCTGTTGTGCTCCAGACTTCTAGGTTATACGCCTCCCCTTGTTGGTTCAGCTTATTCCTCCTGGTTGCCCTGTTTCTTTTCTTTTGCTCCTTTTAATCTCTCCCTGGTTCCTCCATCTCCTTCTGTCTGCCTGCTTCCTCTCATTCACTGTCTGTCTCTTTTGAACTGGGTTGTGAATTCTGTTGGCATCAGAGTGGGACAAACTGTAAAACCGAGGTTCCCGGAGGGCCAGGTTGTGATCATTTTATTTTTACAATGTCCTTGGATGTATAAAGGTGTTTGTTTGAGGGGGAGGAGCAGTGCGTGTGCTCCATGTGGGAGAAGAGAGGGGAGCGCGGGCCAGAACGAATGAAGCTTAAAACTAATATAGGTCAGTTGCAGAGAAGAGTCCCAGTGGTCTGTGAAGCAGAGAAGCAGTTTGTCGCGTCAGACCGGCTACTGGAAAGATGGCAGCTGAACAGTTTCACCCAAATGATGCCAGCAACCTGGAGAAGTGTCCTGTCAAAGAGTGCAGGGGAGGAGAGCCAAGCCCTGCACAGCTCGCCTCCGGCCACCTCCCTCACCCAGGGAATAACCAGCCTCAGTTTCCTTCTTCCTGCCTCCGAGCTGTCTCCTCCTGTGCGTGTTCCTCTGTCCTCACGTGGAGGGGGGAACAAGGCTGAGGTACACCTCCCGGTGCCCCCTGCCAAACCCAGGGGGCCCAGGTGGACAACAACAGACCCTTGGGGGATGTCCTGAGGTGTGTGGCCAGCCTCTGCTGGGGTCAGTGCTGTGGAGGAGCCCCACACAGCCAGCAGGGAGATGTCACCAAGGCTCTGGGCCTGGCCTGGTTGAGCTGGAAGAGCCGAGGGCTCTCCCTGGCGCTGCTGGGAGTTGATTTTTCTCTGCATAAGAGCCCTCACTTGCCATGATTTGCCACAGTATGTGTAAACTCTGCACATACCGTTCCCAGAGATCTTCACAAGTGGTTAGCAGTTGCAGTGAATGACTGAAAGTGGCAAGTCCTGATGAGCCCAGCATTTGGCCTCGGAACTTCTGATTTCATTGCTATTAAGAGTTTTGTTGCTATAGGAGGTTAATCTGCTAAAATGACATCTTGATATCAAAACAGACATCCAGAGTTTCCGAGGTACTTGGAGCCTATACAGCTCTGTAAAATCAACATGAGATGCTGACTGCTCAGCACAACTGAAAATCAGGACAGTTCTTCAATGTCTAAACACGGCGTTAGGAGCCTAAATAGACATACGTGTTTTGTTTTCTTTTGAAAATAGGCCTCTGCTCCCAAAGCAGGGAATGTCACCCATCTTCAGCTTCTGTCCGTGGCGTGCTCTTCTGCGCATACCAGAATGCTCCAGTCTAGCATCTGACTGGCTTAATCCAATGTGTTCAGCCTCCTTCCCCTGTAGGAGTTCACACTGCAGCCCCTAAAGCATTGTGATGGTAATAGAGAACCAAATCTGAGGAATTCGTACAATGGCTCTGTGGTCACAATGCACCAGCTGGCTTTCACTGAAACGGTGTCTAAAGAACACGCACATCTCAGAAGATTCCTCCCTGACTTTGTGAGACTACAAAAAGAAATCCTCCTCACATTAAAATCTGTAGCCTGTTATCACTGGTATCAGTGGGACCCCGTGATTTTGAGCTTTCTAAGATTCCCCGCTCACTGAGCTCCTGATTAGGTGTTGGGATACATGCTTCTCTTGATTTGAAAAATCAGAGCGACAACATAAACTATCCCAGAGCTTAACCACTTATTTTATTTTCCTTAGGATGTTCCTTCTAGAGTCTCTCTTAACCCTGATTTATTACTGAGCACCAGAGAAATTAAAAGCTCGATATTCCATCCCTGACACCCTAAGCTATTTGACAGATCAAGAGCCAGGGGGGTCCTAAAGAAGACAGATGGGTGTATAGCTGGTTTGCAGAAGGGTTACCTGCAGCAGTACCACCAGACCTAGGAGAGCAAGTCTGCCCCGTCCAGCAAGCCTCAGCAATGCCTCTGTGGCAGCTGAGCACCAGATGACAAAAGCTGGTGTTTAGGCTGAATTGTGGCTTTAAATGGTAATACCAAATAGATGAGGTTGCACAGGATCCTCTTCTCTGTCTTCATCTGCGCCCTTTACACTGGAAGAAAGGCTGATATCAGGGAATATTGATCAGGGTCAACATGGAGCGTCTTCACTGTAGGCCTCGCTTTCCTCCAGCATTTATCACTGTACTAATGTTTCCAGGAAGCTTCTGAAAATCTTCAGTTCAGAAAAAAGAAACCAACAACTTCTCTTTCTTGCCTTATTCTTTAAAATTCTCTTCTCTGTTTATTGCTATGTTTACCTGAAAATAGGCTTTTTTTCTTCTTTAAGAGTCCTACCGCAGCTGCTGCACATTTCCTCTCTGGCATTTCATGTACCTGTTTGTTAAGAAATGATGGCTTTTTTAACCCATGCATTCTGACCAGGAGACAAGAGGCAGGTCTGGGGTGAGTTCTAGTCCTGGTTAATGAATGAATAGACAAGGGACCTATTTCAAACAAGACTGAGTTCCTTGTGCCCATATTTCATGCAGTTCCAGTGAGACGCATTGCTCTGTGATCTATTCCGGAGACCTTTTACCTATGTCTTGACTTAAGAGCAAATTCTGATCACAAAACCTGTGCCATACTCTTTTCACCAACTTCTTGTGAACAATGTGTGATTCAGTTTGGGTTCTTGCCTCCTCTCCTTTGTTTTCTTTAGCTCTGATTTTCAGGTATTTGCTTATCCAGGTGTCAAGGCCCTGGTACCTCTTGGCCCTGTTTCCTGGAATACGCTTCCAGGGCTGGAGGTATATGGATGGCTGTGAGAACAATCTGTGCCTGATTTGATTTTGCATATGGATGGAGAGGAGAAAATAAAAAAGAAAAAAAAGAAAAAAAAGAAGGAAAAAAAACGCACAAAGGTTTACATAAAGTGTCTGAGGATACAACAAAGGAGTAGGAATGAAATGTAAATAAATGGGTCTTAAACAGGAATGTTCTCACAACTGATTTTCTCTGCTAGCCTTATTCACTAAGTTTACATGTCAACGTGTATATATATATCTCCTCATATCTCATCACTGAGGATCCTTTACCAAATACTGTAATTCCAGCTAGAGTGACTGGTTAGCAGCCTGCCCTCTGTTACAGTTAATGGGTTGCAGGCATTGATTTTCTTTTCTATTCCTATTGATTAGGAGGCTGCTGTACACACAAACCTCAGCACAGCATGGAAAGAGGAAGAGAGGCAAAACAGTTCTCATCCCAGCAATTCATCATGGCTGAACATTCATCCTGGAAATCCCAATCTTCTCCCACTATCTCTTTCAAGTAAAGAAAGAAGCCTTTCCCTTTTTGAAGAATTCAACCCACAAGGCACATGAAATGACACTGTTTTTTCCAACCATCTTCAAGGAGCAAACATTTCAAAGGTTGCCATTCAATGCAAGAAAAGGTTGTGTGAGACAAAGGAGCCTTGCGCTGAAGGCACAGGAGTTTTAACTTCGAGACTCAATCTGCAACAGATTCCTTGAACAACCATTGGTACCCAATTCATTTATGAGAGTACCCAGATCTCACTAAAATCAGTGGATAGACTTTGGTGGGCTTTGGGATTTTGTTTCAGTGCCTCCACAAACTGATGAAAATGTTGCATTATGAGAGTGTATAAGAATAATTTTTTATTTTTTTATTTTTTTTGCAAAAGATTTAGTTTAGAAGAGTATATAGGTCAGAAACTGAAGGACTTCTGTATTGTAGCCTTATACCCTCATACTTATTCGCTGTTAGAGTTCCACTCATATCTAATGCAGGAGCTTTTCATGCGCTCTCACAGTGGCACCAGCACTGCTTTTGCACAGAGTCCTCCTCAACTTAATCATTAGATCTCTGTACCATGTATCTCCCTTCTTTCTTCCTTTCTGGTCACAATATTAGGCTAGATATGAATTTCCTATAGTATTTGAATATTTGATATTTACATTGTCTTTTATGTTGATTCTCATGTTAAAAGACCGCAAGATAAGGAGAGATGACCACTGAGGTGTTTTTGTTTTTTTTCCATCTGGATTTCTGTCTCTATTATCTCTACCTTCTCCACCAGTGATTTTCTGGGGAAAAAAAAAAAATCTACATTTTCTGTCTTAGGTTTACTAGTTTTCTGATTTGGTCTAAGAAAACCACCAGCATGCAGATATGATGTGAATAATGTTTCTCATGAACTTTTGGTCCCTCAGCTTTGGACGCCAGTTATGACTGCTCGGATCACCCCCCCTGCTTGCTTAACTCTACAGATATATGGCCTCCAGTGAAATTCCTTTAACATTAATTCTTTTTCTGGATCATATCTCACTTCCATCTTTTCTGCTCCATTGGCTTTCAGTTCTATAATCATCACCCTAACCCCAATTTATTTTTCCTAACATCTTCTCTGCTGGTGTATCTGTCTATTAACACCTCTGCTCTGCCTGCAGAACAGCTGCATCAACTCCATCTCTTTTACATCTCATTACAGCAGCTCCTTCTGCGATGGCCTGCCCAGTATGAAGATTCCTAGATACCAGATCACTGTCTGATTTTTCTCCTACGAGCTGAAAAGCTCCACTGCAGCACTTAATGCACAAATACTCTATTCAGTTCCATTACCATCCCATGGAGCTGCTTCCGACTTGATGCCCTTCATCTCCCTTCCTGCATCTTTCTCGTGCCCCTTTCTTTCCTACAGCACTGCCCCTTCTCTCCACAAATAGCAGCACTCTTGGTTTGCCATTGGAAGCAGACTTCCTGCGGCTCCCTGTCTCATCAGCTTCTCATTTCAAGTAATTTAAAATGTAATTTAAAATCTCTCTATTTCCTCCAGACTATTAATTTCTCTCTCCTTACTCTTCTATAGATGTCATTCTGTTTTGCACTATTCGGTAAGATGCGACTGTTGTAAAAATCTGCCACAGTGTTTTCAGTCTGTATTCTCATTTTGTATTATCATTTTTAATGATTCTTTGTAGGAAAGATGAAATCTCAGCACAGCATCTAGCCACAGCACAAGCAGTCGCACAGGACATTCTGGCATTTGCATTGCCTTTGTTCCATTCTTCTCCTGTGGCATTTAGAACTGTAGAGGGATTATTGTGAGTGGTCTAAGAGCATATAAGTAGGATATCAGGAAGAGAATTATTTCTGGAATTTGGGAAGTGTAAGGCAGGAACCCCCTTTAGTTCTGATCTTAAGACATACTGAACCATCATAGGTTCCACTCCTCTTAGCCAGGGATTAAAGAACTCAATACTCTGCAGGCCTGGCCTTTTTATACTGACAGCTTCTCTGGGGAAAACATGCCCCTGCCCTGTTGCTGCAGCCATTTGAAGTCAAACTTGTCAAATCTGTAGAAATATGTAATAAAGGCAACAGTCACATATTGGTTTGAGAATCTCTGTTTTGGCCCAGCTTCTGTTTCATCCTCTGAAACCTGACTGGATTAGTCAAATTTAAAGATATGTAATCTCGCTATTTCAGCGGCATTTTTCTTGTTAAATTAATTTTTTGTCTTTTAGACAAGATTTGTATTTTCTCACTGTGTTGGGGTGCCCTGTGAGCCCCAGTCTACAACCTCTGCAGTGACTGCTCGCTCTCCATACTTGTCTCGCTAGACTCATACCAGCAGAAGCAAGCTCCTCAACCCCATTTGTGCAGCCTGGCACACCCTGATCCACAGGCGCATTCCAATTTGTCACAACAAAATGAACACTTAGCCACACAGGAGAGCCTTAAGTGAAAAAAACAGTATCACACCTTCCCTCCCTCTCCTCTTTGAATGACCCTGCTGTGTAAGGACAAGCGAGCTTTCAGAAGGCCTGAGCCCTTCCTGCTTCCCCTCACTCCACCCAGGTTGCTTGTGTGATGTTACTAGAAGAGCTGTGTTGCACTTTTTTAAGAGCACAGAGTAACTGAGGAGCCCACTTTCCCTGGAGCTATGAGCTCCACAAATTTCCAGTACGCCTTTCCCTTCCATATACGTGATATTGGTGCTTGATGGATTTTAGTGCTGACATGGTCTACTGAAGTTTTTCTTCCTTGGAGTCTTCCAGGCTTCTGGCCTGGGTTTTCTACTTTTTTTTTTTTTTTTTTAAGAATTAGAAGACTTGAATGCTGGGGTGGCCTTGGAGAGGAATGACCACCAACACAAAAAGAGCATAGCTCAGAGCCCCCAGAATGACTCGTTCCTCCCTTATGCCTTCCCTCTTTCAGTGGAAAGCTTTCAGAAGGGGAGGAGAGGTCCTAGGATGCAGGCTCTGCAGAGCCATAATCTCCCATCAGCTTAGGGGAATTCTCTGCATCTCTCCACCTCTCAAATTTGTTTAATCCAAGGCCAACAGGCCAGAGAGCCTGCCCACAGGGATATCCATGTCCCCCTTGCCCATCCTCAGTTGTTTGGCAGCTCCATGGGTGCAGAAAGAAACTCCTGGCTTCTGTGAGAAAGGAGAAGGCCAGGAGTCCCCCAGATGAGGCTAGGGACTGTCATTGTCCCCCAGCAATGTGTCGGTGGGCTCAAGCTGCACCATCACCTCCCCCCTTCACCGCATCCTTTCTCCTGCCTCCCCTAGGATATTTCCTGCCTGCTAGTGGCAATCTGCATATGGCTGATGCCACAGCCCATGAGTGCTTGCTGGTAAACACCCCATCTTGGTCTCAGCTGTGAGGGCAGCCTGGTCAGAGCCCTCCAAAGGGGGGAAATGCTTAGCCATCTGCAGGGTGCCCAGTGCCCTCGTTGCTGCTCATCACCCACTCCTTGCTATAGAGCCTTTCATGTCCAACAGTCCTGGGGGAGAATGTCCTGAAAGGGCAGTCCCAGGCTGCACCCAGAGAGGAAGAAGAGAGGAGAGAGAAATGGAGTTATGAAATTACACCATAGCTGAAGCCCTCCAACTGGTTCAACTTCCCAGCACCCCCTCCCCTCAGCTCTTCTCCCCCTTCTCCCCCTCCAAACAGCAGTGAACCTAAAGCAGCCCTTCTGGTCTCTTGTTCACTGAACAATGAATCCGATCAGAGAGAAAGAAAATCGGCAGCATCGAGAATTAGATAATTTCTTTTCTTTATGATTGTTGCATTAATGAGCAGCTACATGTATAGAACCAGGAGGTGACTAATGTAATTAACCTGGTGTAATGATACTGCTGAGGAAGGGAGAGAGGATTATGACATACTTAGATGTTAGCATTGCACAATTTTGCATACGTTCCCGGTACTATCAGGATGCGTCTGACATAGGAAACTTAAGCAGCGATAGATTTCAGTCTGCATTCATTCAGCTCCTGCGTCTTTCTGTGTGAAATGAGGACTGAAAGGCGGGTTGCTTTCTGAGGGTTGAGGGGGAAGGAATTTGGGTTGGCGGTTCCTTTCCTTAACAAAATCGTACTAATAATAAGAAATCGCCCTTTCTCGTGAAGGATCTTCCCAAAATGTCTGCTTCTTGGAGCAGGCTTCGGGATTTCACAGAAAGCTACAAAGGGAAAGTCAGAACGCAGGGATTCACACAGCACTGGTCAGGGGGAGACAGAGGGACGGAAAACAAGCAACACCAAAAAAACATATGCAACTTGCAGCGAACCCGGGAAGAGTGAAGAGCGAGCACTTAAAAACAATAGCGACAGCCAAAACAAGGGAAATAGACGCTTATTTCTAAATTACCCTTCCACGTTACATCGCCCCCGTCTCCTGGGGAGAGAAACGTCTGAGTGAAGTTTTGTGCGGGTCTCACTGCGGAGCGCGGGTCGCGCTCGCAGCTCCGGGCGCTTAACAGCGGGGATGCTCAGGCAGCCGGGCCGGGGGCCGTCGGGGAGGAGGGTGGGGGGGTGGGGGGGGGGGAGCGACAGGGAGCGAAAGGCAGAAAGCGAGAAAAGAGGGAGAGCCCCAGCCAGATACGCCTTCAGCCGGGGGGGAGCAACCCTGGCAGCAGCGGCGGGGAAAGGCAGCGGAGAAGGAAGGAAGGAAGGAGGAGGTTTGGGGGGGGGGGGGGGTTTAGGGCTGCCCCCTCCGCCCCTCCCTGCCCGCCCGCCCGCCCGCCTGCCCGCGCAGAGCGGAGGAGGGCGGCCGCCGCCCGCGGATGCTGTGGCTCGGGCAGGGCGGGCGGCGCGGCGGGCAGGGCGGGCGGGGGGTCTGTCCTGCAGCACCGCGGAAAGCTCCTCCGGCACCACCACCGGGCGAGCCGCCTGCAGCGCCCGGCGTCCCGGAGCGCTCCGCCCGCCCCGCCGGCCGGGGAGCTGTCCTTCAGCACCTCCGGCCGCCGCCGCCGCCGCCGCCTTGATGCAGTAGAGGGCCCGGGAAGCCGCCGGGGGGGACGCCGCGGGGCAAGGGGGTGCCGCAGCCGGGCGCAGCTCCGAGCCCCCCGCCCGGGAGGGGCGCCGCGCCTGTCCCCCGCCTCCCTCCCCATCGCCACCCCCAGGAGCCCCCCTTTCTCTCTCTCTCTCTCTCTCTTCCTCGCCCACCTCCGCCGGGAGCGAGCGCCGCGGCTGTGCGGAAAAGCCATGGGAGGCGAGACCTCGGCACCTGTTCAGCTGAAATCAAGGGCTTACAGTATACTGGGCAGTCTGGCTTGGTGGTAGGAGCGAGCGAAAGGAAGGAGAAGCAAGCGAGAAAAAAGTGAGAGAGGATTGGAGCGACTGCCGCTGCCGGGAAAAAAAAAAAAATAAAAAACCCAAGGAAGATAACTGGGAAGGAAAAGGATTTTCATGGCGCAGGCTGCAGAGCTAAGCAAGAAGACTGAAGGTTGCATCTCTGCTCTTACAGTCTCTAACTGTCTAGGTCCAGATAATGAGAGATTGTGTTGAGGATGCTGCTGCTGCTCCCCTGTTCACTGTGGAAGCCATCTCCAAATTAGCCATTACATATGGAAACTGGAGACCAGAATTTTAGAAAAAGGGATTAAGGCGTCTCGTTTTGGGGGGGGTTCTCTCTTTATTTGTTTCTTTTTTTTTTTTTTTTCTTGGTTCTTTTCTCTCTCTTTTTTTTTCTTTTTCCTTTTTCCTTTTTTTTTATATTTCAACCAGAACGTTTCCGATTTAAAAGGCAAGCCTCTTCCCGTGTGGTCTTTCTAATTTACACTCTTTTCCGTGGGCTTTCTTACCTCCCTTTTTTGATATCTATCTCTCTATATATACCCATTATATTATTAGTCGGAATTATTATTCTTTTATTTTATTAAACACACACACCCCAAGAATCAGAAGGCGGTTGGGTATTTGTATAATGAAGAATTATGGGGCTCTTTGACAGAGGTGTTCAGATGCTTTTAACCACCGTTGGTGCTTTCGCTGCCTTCAGCCTGATGACCATAGCTGTGGGGACCGACTACTGGCTTTACTCCAGAGGGGTTTGCAAGACTAAAACTGTCAGTGAGAACGAAACCAGCAAAAAGAACGAGGAAGTCATGACCCATTCTGGATTATGGAGAACCTGCTGCCTGGAAGGTATTTGATTCTGGATCTCCAACCCCCCCCCCCCCCCTTACTTTCCTATCCCACCACCCCATGCCCCCTCTCCCCCCCCAATAAATCCCTTTGCATTCCACCATTTTCTCACTTCATTCCCTTCACCACGATTGAGAGTGGTGGGCTCAGTTACTCAGGGCATGGAGGCAAGAAGACAGGAAAATTATTCTTTGCTCTGTTTCCTTCTCCCTTCCTCTTCCTCACCCTCCCCCACACACCCTCCCCGAAAATTCACTTCCCCCCTCCGATGGGAATGATGCGTGTGTTACAAAAACACCAAGAGACCCTTTCAGAAAGGAACCGTGTGGTCTGCCTGTCTTCAGATTGTTTGTATTGCCTGGGAAAGCAATGCCAAAATGCTGTATTATTGTTGTGCTCCGGCTGCAACCACAGAGTGAAATCATTTGTCTCTTTGCAAACAGCTTATTTGCAAAGACAAGACCGGGAGTGAGAGGCAATGTGGGGAGAGGGTGACTGCAAAGCAATTCGGATGCAATTATTAGTTCACTTTAGGAGGGAAAAAGAGAGAAATGGAAACAACCCTGTTATGTCCAAAATGCCTCACATGGTAAATCTGACGATTCCAGTCATCTCGAGCAGAGTTCAGAGCATTTCGTAATGTCTGTAAGCAACCACATCTCGCTGGGTTGGGTGCAGAGGGGTCTATTTGGCGGCTGATTGGTTTGTTTTGGGGCTGGGATTTTTCCCCCGTTCGTTTGTTGTTGGGGGTGGTTTTTTTGTTTGGGGCTTTTCTTTAAGGTTTATGGTAAAGGCTAAAAATAAACAAGTGCCTGAATAGAAAAAAAAAATCAGCCTAAGTCTGATGTGGTGAAACTGAACAGCAACTCAGTGACATGTCTGATGGCAGAAGAGAGACCGCCGCAGCCAACTTCTGGAATCAGACGTTCCTAAGGGAGGGGGAAAGAAGAGAGGGGCCAGT